GTAGAGGTAATTGAACTGGGTCAAGCCTTAGCTGAAGATATAAAAAGCGGTGGGTATGAAAACGACAAGCACGAATGTTCAAAGAAAGTAAATAAACCTCATAATCTCCCGCTCTAAGAAATTAAGAATTACTAAAAGATTATTAGATCCTACCCCACCCTTAACACTCCTCAAACACCTCTCCAGAGCCCTCCCCCTCTCCTTCTCCCTGACCAATGTGGTTGTCACAAACGCCCGAATAGCGTTTTTCCCAATCTTTTCCCGCCACGCAGTCCATCCAGCCAGCTCTCCCACGACAACATCCTTATTCCATGCTATCTCTTTCTCCAGGTGTTCAGCTTCTGCTGTCGATGCTGATATTTTTTGTTCTAGATCGCGCACGGATTTTTGTCGCGATTCTTCAAGACCTGGGAAGTTGAATTTAAGCGGGAGAGATGAGGACGCCAAGGATGAGTGGGCGCGCGTCAGGCCACGGATTTCAGCGTTGAGATTGGAGATGAGCTTTCCCGGCCGCGAGAGTGCATTAAGCATTGCAGTCGTGGTGCTTTGGGACGACGTCAGTGCAGTGAGGAATTGGACTAGAGGGGACGAATCGATGGAGGGTGTTGAGATGCAGGCGGCGTAGCGGGCGAAGGTTTCGACGTATGAAGTTGGAAGGGAATTGGAAGGTGGTTGTAGCGAGGAGAGGGCATATGCGCAGAGGATGATAGAATCCGCTAGATCGGAATATGCATGCTGGAGGATGTGGCCTCGTCGAAGTAGGCTGCGGGTGGCGGCGCTAAGGGCGCGGACTGCATCCTGGGCATGCGAAACGATTTGCTCGACGTCTCGAATTTCTGCTTGGGTCATGGGTTCGTAGTCGTCTTCAATTGTCTCCGCAAGGGCTTCTGCTTTTCGACGAGATCTATCTTCTATCATTTCGGTTTGCATTTCTGGGACGAGGAAGAACTCCCAAATCATTTCGTGGGTGGCAAATGTAGGGTGGGCTAATAGAATTTTCAAAAAGAGGTCTAAGCGCGCCTGAACTTCGTGGAGAATCGCTCTGGAAGGTCTTGATGGGATCTGAAATGGAGTGCGGAAGGGAGGCAGTTCTGGGATGTATGATGCGGGGTGCTCAACTTTGAGGAATTTAATGAGGTTTTCAAAGTCTTTTATGCTGCGGCGACAGGTTGTTATCGTGTAAGTAACAATCCCTGGCGAAGAAGACTTTTGGAGCGACCTTTCAGGATTGGGGGCGCCGGATTTAATGATGAAACGAACACTAGCATCTTCAATGAACAATGAACGAACAACAGTGGTGATTCGTCCTGAAGAATCAACACGGGCCGAGGACGCATTGGAAAAGAGTATTAAATCGTCGATTCGATTACGGACTTCGTCATCCTTCGCGAGCTCGACTGCAGTGAGACCACGCATCTCACGCACATTGACGTCAACTCGTGGGTCCTCGAAAAATATCCGTACCAGATCAACACGGCCGTATTTGCTTGCCATCATCAACGGCGTGAATCTTTTGTCATTAGTGGCATTTGGGTCACAGTCACATTCTTTGAGGATCCTAACAACTATCTGTGGATCACTAACGACATGCAAGAGAGTATTCCCTTTGCCATCGACATGATCCTCTAACCTTAAAGGCTTCCCGTCACCTTGCGCCTTCTGTGCAATCGTCAATGCTTCATGCACCATTGGGTTATAATCGGGATGATCATAGGACCTACAGAGGGCAAAAAGTGGCGTCTGGCCATTTTTGTCCCTTTGCCGCCACGGAAGGGCACACTCCAACCGAGACATGAGCGTAGGAACACTGAAAAGATAGTGGGCGAGAGTCCGGCCTCTTTGATCTGCCTTGGCGTAGTACGAAGTTAGAAGCTGAGAATCGCGAGCTTGGGATATGAAGTCCAGAATTATATCGACCAGTTCAGTGTGTGCTAGTTGCACAGCGGCACTCAGCAACGTCGTTCCGTCACTATTGGTATCCTCCAATATGCTGTCGAGGGGGTAGTAGTCTTGACGACTGAGTAAATACTTAAGGGACTGGGGTTGCCGAGCTTCCACTGCCATCATCGGCACAGAATCACCTGCCGGATCCTGGGTCTTTGTCAAGTTTTCAATGGACGTATCTCCTTCCAATGCACTTGGCGTTGAACCAACTGTCGTTCGAGAAACGTATGAAACCGTCGATGACTCTGAAAGGCTCCGCATATCCATAGAAACTTTCTTCCGCGGTGGGGCTTCTACTTTTGAGGAGGAGACTCTGGACCAGTTCATAAACGGAAAAACGTGGGCTAATGAGGGTGTGTCGGGGGATAGGGGCGATATTTGGTTCAATGGATTGGAAGTGCTGCCATTCACATACATCTCTTGATCAGCATGATCAGAGATCGTGCCAGATTCTTCATCTTTAGAAAAGCTCGAACACTCGTCTTCATCAAAATTATGGCCAGTTAGGGTGTCTTGAGAGTTATCCGGGTCTAATATCGCCTTTATATCTGAGACTCTTCCTTTTTTGGTCGCCGTCCAGAGCCGTTTGTTTCGGGCGCTCGCCCTCCTCAGGGCTCCGGAGTCTTTCGAAAGATATGTTAATACAGCTTCGAATGTACTCAAAACATATCCAAGTTCACCACTTTCAACATCATCAGTATAGATATACTGCTGCATGTACAAAAGTCTAGCCTGGAGATGCCGAACCTGTGACCGGATAATAACCACAAGTAACAATGAAACTAAAACATCTGCATTTATTGCAAGTACAGAGGATTGTTTCTCGGAGTGGCTGTACGAATCCTCGCCATTTCGAACATCGGATTTTTCCATTACAGTCACAAGTTTAATGGTTGCCAGCAAAATCTCAAGCATGTCTTGAGGGCATTTTGCGTCGGCTATTTTTCGAAATTCATCCACGCCTCTTCCAAGGCGGCGGAGTATCTCCTGTTTCCCTTGGCGACCGCCCTCAATAACAATTCCAACCTGCGAAATGTCAATATTTTCCATTTGATGGATACGAGCATCTAGCTCTGCATCTTCCGCCTGGCGATAACCGCAAAGGCGCGGAAATAAGAGTGAATCGTGGACTTGCTGTGCCACATGCTTTTCGATAAGACGCTCAACCAGCGGGCCGGTAAGATCCGTTGTCGCACCCAGTAAGGAGAGTTGTTGTTTATCGACAAGTCTAAATAGATCAATCGCCGATGTTACCGCAGTTTCTAAAGTTCGTCTCATAAGGTCCTCATCATCCTCAAAATATTCTGATGAGTTGAAAGGAAGGCTTTCTTGATTGATGTGCGACCCCTTACCAGGTGATCTACTTCGCCAAGATCCAGTTTCCTCAGTCTCGTTAACATATGCTTCACTATCCGACATGACTGGAGATAGTACAGAGGGAGGAGGCGGCAATGGCTTTCCAAGCTCCTTGCCGAACTCTCGAAATACTCTGTCCAAACCAGGCTGCATTTGTCTCGCGATCATCGGGAAATTTGCAAGCAAGTCTGCGAACGATGTTATCTCTTTCTTTGAGAAATGTGACATGTGGTTCTCGTTACGATTTTCCGTTTTAGGAGGCTCTATTGGCTTCGGTGAAAGCCCAGGGGTGATCGCTGGTGTAATTCTGACAACCTGAAAAGTGCCAATCAGCGGGGTTGATATATAGTATATCAACCATGGCTGCGATTCGTTATTCGAGGTATAGTAAAGGGCATCTGAGAGAAGTTGGGCCTGGTTCAGGGCCTTAAATCCTGAAATAGACTAGTTGGCATCTAAACAAATATATCTGCTGCACATTGAGTCCACCCTAACCTTTATTGCTAAACACCGTGGTTTCCTTAACAACCACAGTCCGGCCATTTACTGTTGTAATTTGTCTTGCCTTGCCCCTAGTGTCCCGGACGCTTGGTCCATCCTTACTGGCGGGCGATCCAATAGGAGAAGTAACACGCAAAACATGGCTGCCCAGGAACTCCTCCGACGAGACGATATCGGCGTACGCGAGGTTCGAATCCCGGTCTCGGCCATTGATGAGCGATTCAGTTACGGGAACAAGGAGGACCTAGTCTCAAAAAGTTAGGAACAGAGGAGCTGAAATGGCGTATTTAAGCGGGGGAGGGTGTGATACATGGTTCTGGATGGGCACGCATTGTGCCGGAATAGTACTGCGGAAGAAAGCACGGAGAAAAGGGTTTAATGGGTGCATCCACACAGCATTGGATGGCCCAGCTAACGACGCATCAAACTGCACAAAAACAGCGACAGAAAGGAATCACGCTGTCGGTTTGTTGTAGCTTCAGTAGTAGATGCGGACGCATTCAGGGAGCAAGCCGGATAGGGATGACGAGACTAGTATAGACTTGGAGGTATGCTTGCAAGAGGAGCAGCGTAGCACAAGGATACGGAAGTGGTAGACAAGTAAGAGGTGGTATCAAGCAAATTGTATTAATTTTGGAACCTTTAGAATCAAAATAATATCACAACTGAGCTTGCCAGAGGTTTATTCGTTATTTGTAGATGCCTCAAGGTTCTGATGCCACTGAAAATCATGTGATCTGCGAGCTTGCGCTTGGAACGCTAGACTCAAATAGGGAAACATGGTCCCGAGGTCGACGATATTCTAAGGGTTTCAATCGGGGTTAAAAAGATGAGGAGACTTTATCTCACACGCCTTTGGAAGAGTCGGCAACAGTTAGGGTCTCAGAAAATATTTGGTGAAAAGGAGGTTGTAAAAATTACAGCTGAAAAAGACGAAGCAGAGACTAACAGGGCATAACACCGGACAGAGATGAATACTAGAACTATACATAGATTCAAGAAGTGGTAAATCGGTCACCAATGTTGTACACAGTACCATACAATGAGAATTATCCGGTATCCCAAGTTAGATACATCGCTATATAGACGACATAGGAGCGGGACTATCTTTGTCCCGCGTCCTGTTTCCCGCTTCCGGTCACCGAAATTCCAGATAGAATAAATAGGTAAACATTTTCAGGGCATGAAGGTCCGTTCGATAATGGGAAAGTGGAGATTCGAACAGAAAATCCAAAATGTTGAAATCGGCCTCAGCCCAACCTGCGTACCCTTTTACTACGACAACCACCAAATTTTAATCTAGTAGCATCGGTGACCCTGCAAACCATATTGCGAATATTTTTTCCCTCTGGGCCTAGAAGGACCTTCGTAAACGCCTCTCTACCGGGTCCAAAACCTCGGAGTACAACTTCCAGTCGCTTCATTGTTAACAAATGACCCTCTTCCTGGATTTTTCCCATCATGAAGGATGCAAGCTGGTGCGCTGCGTCGAATTTGGAGCGTTGTGCTTTGCGAAAACCAATATTTCCACAACTCATGGAGAGCAAAGGTTCTCGGTTTGGTTGAGTTAGGGTGATGTGTGTATTGTGTTTGTGCGAGTAGACATGAAGGTGGTGCGGTGGGTCTTGGATGGCATAGCCGTACTGGACAACCTGATTAAGACGGAAGGTCATGGATGCGGAATCGTTATTTGCGTTTCTCGTGACCCTAGTCGACGCTGAAAGCTTCGACAAGGCAGAGGGGCCGCCTGTGGACATATCTCTAGCTTTCTTCGCGTGTGTGCAGACCGATGGTCTGAAAGCTTGGGATTGAAGTAAATATTGCTGGCGCGGTAGTCCAATGGACTGCACCGCAATGGATAAACACTTTCCAGTGCCCCCCATCATTTCCTATTGGTGTACCAGATATCGGTGAATATATTATCGACTGCCCTAAATAAATATTAGTTGATACAGGGAAGCCTAGGATTGACATTGTATAGTACCTTCTCACTTTAAGGGGCCGTGGAAAAAATTGGAGGAATTAAGCGGACTGCTCCATGCGTCTAAAAACGTCAAGGGCGTATTTCTAGCTGCATGCGCATGCAGATATCGAAGGGATCCGTTGCAATTGAGACGTTGAAGTCGTTGCTGCTCTTGGGTTGGTTGTTCGGTATTCGTGCAATCAATGGTGGTTGACAAGTCCCAGAAGTTTTTTAGGTCTTGGCGGGTGGACAAACTCTAAATCGATATCAACTCATTCTCTGCTAAATTCCCTCGACCTCCAAACGCATAACCACGAGCTAGCAACCAGTCAGGCCGGGTTTCCAAGGGCTGACTTGCTTTTGAGTCTACGGTGTTGCTGCGATTTTAATCTGTTTTGGCCGTCTCTCCTGCTTATTTTACTCTTTAGCTACGAGCCTGTAGTATCCTACCCGCCCGAACAATGCTCATCGCAGCCAAATGTACGCCGCCTGGTGTGATGTGGACGGCTCTGTTCAGGAACCACACTATTACCTTTCCAACAGTGTTTGCATCACGAGCAGTCTCCCGGCGGCCATTGACCCATCAAACTTCCTTGAATCCTACCATCTCGTCTCAATCCCTCCTCAACTCCGCATCAAGGCACTCGATTTCTAATACTTCACCCCTCTTTCCTGCGACTCCCACGCAACTGAATTCGATATGGGCAAATCTTCCAGTCAGAAGATCCTTTCAAACGGGATGCAGCCTATGGCAACAGCAGCAGAAGCGTCCGGAACAAGCAAGTGCGGAGAATCCGAAATTAGATGAATCGTCGGAAAAGGCAAAGAACGAGAGAGAAGCGCAAAACCCAAATTCCCAGGAAGAAGGAAAGAAGGCAAAAGATGAACCACCACCTCCACCACCTCCCCATGGTGATAAAACTCCATGGCAGGTGTTTACCGAGACCCTACGATCCGAGTTCAAGGCCTCGAAGGAATGGAATGAATCAACAAAAGCTCTAGCCTCGTCGGCACATCAATTCACCGAAAGTGAATCTGTTAAGAGGGCTAGAGCCGCGTACGAGGCTGCTTCTGGCGCTGCTACGTCCAAAACTTCTTCGGCTATAAAAACTACGGGTAAGGTTATTGGTCAAGGAGCCGCATGGACTTGGGATACTTCGGTTGTCAAGGGACTCAGGTCAGGAGTATCTGCCACCGGAAAGGGTATTGAAATGGCTACCAGACCGGTTCGTGAAACCGCCGCCTATAAAACAGCAGTTGGTGGAGTGAAGGAGGCAATAGACGATGGTAGTAGCTCCCGGTATGGAGGTTGGATGGAAAAGGAGGAACGACGAAAGCAAAGAGAGCTGCGGGAACTTGCGGAGGCTAAATCCGGCCGTCGTAAGATAGAGAAGATGGTGGAAGATCCGAAGTAAGCCTATATTTAGTTGTTTGTTGAACTCCCTAATGCATCACTAACCGAATTAGTGCCGGCACCCACGTCACCCTCCACAAGGACGCGGCTTGGAAAGAATCGTGGAAAGAATTTAAAGATTCTAGTCGCCTTATGCAATCATATTTCAACCTTAAACATACGTATAATGAATCTGACAATCCGCTAGTCACAACCCTCCGGGGAATTTCGGATCGGGTGGCGGGATGGTTTGCAGAAAATGAAACAGCTATGGTCATCAAAAAGTTCCGCGAAATGGATCCAAGCTTCCAAATCGAACCCTTCTTACGAGAATTGCGCGAATATATGCTGCCTGAGGTGCTGGATGCCTATGTTAAAGGGGATGTTGAGACTCTTAAACTTTGGCTTTCAGAAGCCCAGTATAACGTTTATGCTGCTCTTGCCCAACAATACACGACCGCTGGACTGAAATCAGACGGTCGAATCCTCGATATCCGACATGTCGATATCTCTCATGCCCGCATGCTTGAGCCAGGTGACATCCCAGTTTTCATCATCACCTGCCGAACACAGGAAGTCCATGTTTATCGCAATGTTAAAACCAAAGAGCTAGCGGCTGGTATGGAAGACAAAGTCCAACTAGTCACCTATGCCATCGGCATGACTAGAATCCCAGAAGATGTGAACAATCCTGAAACTCGAGGATGGAGAATGATCGAGCTGCAGAAGTCTGGACGTGACTATATCTAGGGATAGCATGTTTTTTCGATTCGAATTTTCTTTCGATCTCGACAAGTCTAGCAGCAGCCGCATTTTGCTATTTTCCTGAGATGCCTCCTAATATATCTACCTCCCCAAATAATCTTTATACACTACTATCTACGATCGACCAAATTTTGACACGTGGGTTTCATTTTCCCCATTCCCTTGTTTTTGCTGGCTACTTCCTGGTTGTATTCTACTACATGGATTGGAGTCTTATATAGAACTGTGTGGTCCTTTCTTTTGATTTCAGCAGAACTATTTTCTTCATAGCCTCTTCTCCTCTTTATATTGTATATATGGCAACTTTGGATCGATTCCTTTGCTGTTTAGTGTTCACCCAACCCTGGGCAGCATGAAGTGAATCAACAGGGCTCATTCAAATGTTATCAAAAAATTCCGTAAATGAGTCGGACTTTTTCATTAAGCTTTAAGATGGGTTTTTTTTTAGAACATTATGACCTTTACATGCCCCTTTCCCATGAGCTCCTACTTCACAGTCCAGTTCGTGCATCGTCCTATTCATCCCAGATTCTAAGTATGGGAAAAGTGGGGTTATTAGACAGATAAAGCTGTGAAACGACTCCGGAAAATGAGTACAAAATAAACCATAGGCATATCGATATGCATATTGTGGCAGCAAATTACATCCGTTGCTATATATTAGACCAATAAAATGGACCATTTAACAATATTTTGGTCGGTAAATTCAAGATCCCCTCCCTGCACCACGCCCAGCACCTCCGCCCATCAGGTTTCTTGCCCTACATGGATCAATTAGCGCTCTTAAAGTATGCGTTATGAGTAGCTCAGTTAAGACTTACATTTCAGCAAAATTGGGATCATTCATCATGCTGGCCATATCTGGAAGTCCTCCCTGACCAGCACCAGCACCACCTCCGCCCGCACCAAAACTCTCCGCCATTTGTCGAATACGCGGGTTATTCATTAGGTTACTCATCATATCAGGGTTGCTCATAAGATTTTGTGCCATGCTAGCAAACATGGGGTTGCTCATTATCGAACTAAGATCGGGCATACCCCCAGAGCCTCCTCCACTGCCGCCAAACATCCCTGCAAGAGACGAAAGGTCAGGCATTCCACCAGCGCCTCCTCCTCCACGCGAGGCACCAGGTGCTTCATCAACATCTTCAGCGAGGGGCTCATCCTCCCCCTTCTTCATATCCTCAATGCGCTTCTTTGCCGTCTCCAGCCCCTTTCGCATGGATTCACTGCCACCATTTCCTTCAGCATCGATACCCTTTTGATACGCTTCGGCTGCACCCTTTGCATTCCCAAGGGCAAATCTAGCTAAGCCAAGTCTGCTCCACCCCTTAACATATATTGGATCCGCTGCCACGGCAATTTCGGCGTCCTCGACC